AGAGAAGAGAAGGGAAGGGAAGGGAAGGGAAGGGAAGGGAAGGGAAGGGAAGGGAAGGGAAGGGAAGGGAAGGGAAGGGAAGGGAAGGGAAGGGAAGGGAAGGGAAGGGAAGGGAAGAGAAAAAGAGAGGGGGGAGGGAGAGAGGAACATAAACATAGATGTGAGAGAGAAACATCGATCAGCTGCCCTCCATAGGGGAACAAATCTGCAACCTGGGTATATGTCCTGGCCAGGACTCACACTGGCCTTCTAGTGTTAAGGATGACACTCAACACTCCAGCCCACTGAGCACACTGGCCAGGGCTTGTTCTGTTGTTCTTAAAACTACTTAGTGTGATACATAACCAACCAATAATTGAATATAATTAAATTACTTCTCCTAGTATGTAATGACTATGAAATACAGCATCAGCAAATCATAAAAAGATAGCATGGCTCTCTCTCCACTAAATAATCCTATCTAATAAAGAGTGAATATGCTAATTGACCATCACACCCTCACAAAGATGATGGTGCCCACAGCCAATAAGGAGGGGATATGCTAATTGACTGCCATTCCCTCAAATATGGCAGCACCAACCGTCACAAGATGGCGGTGCCAAGCCCCCTCAGCCCTGCAAGGGTGGCAGGCATGCAGGATGATTGGGCCCATCCCCAGATGGGTCCGGCTGTTCCACGCACCTGTCTTTGAAGCCTCCAAGGCACCTAAGCCCTCCAGTTGCCCAGGACTGGCCCCAGGTGCAGGCAAGCCTTGGAGGGCAGCTGCCCAGCTGCCCAGGGCCACCCAAGGCTCAGCCTGCAGTGGCAGCAGCAGAAGTGTGATGGGGCTTTGCCTTCCCCTGTTCACTGGGTTACGTTCTGCCCCTGAGGGCTCCAGATTGTGAAAGGGGGCAGGCCAGGCTGAGGGACCCGCCCCCTCCAGAGAATGAATTTTCATGCACTGGGCCTCTAGTTAAATATAATAGCATGATTGCTCTTTATAAATTTGGATCCAACTCTAATCCATTGCTATTCAAAGTCAGAAGAAAGTAATTATTTGTGATTTGACTATTCCTCCTCATATTAATTTGAATTAATTCAAATTGTATCTGAAAATAATTGGTCTAATAATTTTATATGCTGCCCTAACTGGTTTGGCTCAGTGGATAGAGCATTGACCTATGGAATGAAAGATCCTAGGTTTGATTCCAGTCAAGGGCATGTACCTTGGTTCATGCACATCCCCAAGGTGGGGGGGCGGGGAGTGCCGGGGGCAGCTGATTAATGTTTCTTTTTCACCCATGTTTCTAACTCTCTATTCTTCTCCCTTCCTCTCTGAAAAAAATAAATAAAAATATTTTAAAAAAATAATTGTATATGCTTACATACCAGTCCTGTTATTCATTTTTAAGTCTGATATTTTCAATCTCATTATTGAACTCTTTAAATATCTGCATCTGATGAGCCATTTTAAACAACTTTGCTCTGTTGATTGCTCTTCTTAAGTTGTTTGACTTTGGCTTTCTTCTTAGGTGGGGAAAGCTTGTAAAATAGGAGTAAGATACGTTGTGATCTCTGAACCTGGGCTTTGAGTATTGGGCTGATCTTTTGACTCAATGATCAGAGAGAAGCTGTGCAATAAAGACACTTCATATGGAGTTGGTAAAAGAACAGCGCTCAGAAAAGCTGAGGTGTGTTGCAATTAAGCCATTCCTTCCTGAGTATAATTGGGCAGCCAGTTTGAGCAATAAAGAGCTTCTGAAGTTCAAGTTCTCTTCTGTCTGAGGACAGCTTTGGGAGCACACATGGGGCACTGAAATCCCATTTCTGCATGCTTAGTGAAACAGAGACTTGGGTAGGTATCCAGTCAGTTTTGGTTTTGAGATGGTTCAGATTCTAACCTTCCCACCACTTCCTTAAATATCTGGAAAATTCTGGAAAGAGGAGGTTTGGGGGTGGAGAGGGATAATTATAACAGAATTAATTATAGCTGTCAGGAAATCTGGATTTTAGATATTGCTACATAATAACTCAACCTCTCCTGATTTTCATTGCATCTAAGATAAATTCCACTAATGCGTACTTGCCAACATCCTTTATATATTCTGGCATGTAACAACATAGCAACCATGGAATGTTTTTCTTTAATTTTGACATTGGGTAGAGCAAGGAAACAGCAAAGAGGAGAAAAGACATGTTGACTTGAGAATTATGGCTGTTCCTATTGGTTCTAAACTTTTACTTTAATATTGCAGCAACACCATGGTTCATTTCCTGTTAACCTGCAAGTCTCCCTTACTTCTGACTTTCAAATATCCCTGAGGCCTATGTTTTCACTAAAGAATGAAAACGAACAGGCAGAAACAATTAAGGGAGCAGATACGGTGACAGGGAACACTGCCCGGCACTTTCACAGAAATGAAAGTGTACAAAGGAATGCCGCTTGGAATTTGATTCCATAGCAGCAAAGCTTTTGCTTCTTGTCATTTTTCCCTCGCCCAACCCCCGTGCACACCACTTCCCCTTTGTGGGCAAAAGGAAACAAAGAAAGAAAGATCCAGGCACACAAAGGAACTCCTAAATACTCACAGGCATGGGAAATATTTTACCTGTCTGTTACTGGTCCAGGATTATCTCCAAGAAAAAAAAATTCATCTAGAAATTCTAAACTGCAAATGGCTCCCAAAACCTGTTAAGTGTTCACATATGTCTTTATAAAATGTGTAACATGGAACTATGGATTGTTTATATAGCCCTGATTAAGGATATGAATATTATTAAAAGGATCAAGTCAGATTAATTAAAGGTGGAAAATTATAAAATCATATAGAATTGTAACTTACAATTAGGAATATGAAACTAATAAAATAGTTTAACAAATAGTACATCCATTTATTTATTCAGATAATTTTCAGATAATATTACTTATGCATAAAATGCATGCCAATCACTGAGTGGGGATTAAAGATTCAGGGACAAAACACACAACTCTTACCTTGAAACCTATGCTCTCAAAGCAATGATAAAGAGGAAGTAATATTATTACTAGAATTTTAAAAATTAGTTGAAATTTATCAAGCAAATAGGGGAAGAAAGAAAAATGTTTATGTATTGTGGAGTTCAGAAAGAGGTAAGAGAATGGCACACCCAGGAGCTGTGGGGTGCAGACCTCAAACAAATCAGTGGGTTATTGATTTAACGTTATTATTCTATGAATAAGGTATCATTTACCTATTAGGAAATATACAGATTTTAGGTATATAGTTTTTTTAGATTTGACCATTGAATTCTCTTGCATAATTTATACTCCAATAAGACACAATCAATTGTGCTGCAATGTGAAATATGCATTCTTAAAAATCAACATTGTCATGCAAAATCATGCAATAAAAATCACAAGTCTTATGCAAAAGCATGAGCCTGGGGCATAACATTCAGACATATTGTCAGCAACATGTAAACATAAATAGAAGCTTAATAAAAACAGTAGTTCAGTTTAGCATGTTAGGTGAATAAAAGTTTTTAAATGCTATCTTATATAATAAAGAGGTATTATGCAAATTGACCATCACCCCCTCACAAAATGACTGCCTATGACCAGGGGCCAGCAGGGGGGTTAGTGAGGAATGACCAAATGACTGAACAGCAGGCTATGTGGGGTGATCAGGCTGTCAGTAGGGCATGAGGGGTGACCAGGCTGGCAGGGGGAGGGCAATAAGGGGCTACCAGGAAAGTGGGGGTGTGCTCTTGGGGACAACCAGGCTGGCAGGGGGAAGTTAGGGACAATTAAGCTGGCAGAGGGGCAGTTAGGGGCAACCAGGCTGGCAGAGGGGGGGCAGTTGGGGGAGACCAGGCCAGCAGAGGGGGCAGTTAGGAGCAACCTGGCAGATAGCAGGTGAGTGATTAGGAGTCAGCTATCCAGGATTGTGAGAGGGATGTCCGATTGCCAGTTTAGGCCAGGATCAGGCCTAAACTGGAAGTTGGACATCCTCTGAGGGGTCCCGGATTGGAGAGGGTGCAGGCTTGGCTGAGGGGACCCCCCATACACACCAGGCATAAATGTTGTGCCCTGGGCCTCTAGAAATAAATATGCAACTTTACCTTGAAAAAGACCTGAAGTTTGCTGGTGGACATGGCCATCAGAAGGGTTCTAGTTTGTGAGTTATTGTGAAGTACAGGAAGGAGGGTTACCTAAAAAGAAAGGAAAATATGTCACAGATGATGCTGATGGCTGTGGCTCCGTATCCACAAGAACAGCTAGCTGTTTCACGCAGGTCAATTCAGCTGGACAGTTTCTGCATTCACACGTTATTTCCTGCCGACAGAATCCCACATAGGCAAATGGAAATCCACATGGTTCTCCAACTCTTTCCTAAGATGTCGATTGTTCTGCAACAATGCTCAAGTTTAAAGCATGTATTACAGCAGCTCTCCTGGGAGAACATCTCCAATTGGTTCCCTCAGACTTCTGCCAACCACCAAGTCCCCATCCCCAGCAACCACTGTTCTGATTTCTATCACCACTGATTAGTTTGCTTCTTCTGGAACTTCATATACATGGAATCTCTGTACAGTTTGTGTCCTGGCTCAAATGTCTTCAAGTTCATTCATGTTGCTGATGTCCTGGAAGGTTCATCCCTTTTATGACTGAGTAGTAGTATTCCATTACATAGATATTCAATCATCTGTTTTTCCATTTTCCTAGTGGTGATCATTATGGCCATGACAGTACCATTTTTTTTTTTATTATTGTGTTTAAAACTACTGTGAACATTTTGTACATATTTGTTTGTGTTTTAAGACATGATATCATTTCTCTTGGGTAAATCCTTAGAAGTGAAATTGCTGGGTACGATATACATTTAATTTTGTAAAAAAAAAAAATTGGTCAAACAGGTCTCCTGGCTCATTCTGGCTTCTCCTTCCTCAGAGAGCAGCTCTTCCAGATCGCAGCCTCTCAAGGCCCGCTGGCCACAGACTCCACGGAGAACAGAAGGGAGAGGAGTTCAGCCTCTTGGAAGATGGTCAGAGCTACCATGGCTCCTTGGCCCGAGGCGGTAACGGCCCAGCCCAACCCAGATGAATACATGGGAGGCATCACCGGCCAGCAGCCCCCCACAGATGGAAAAGGAAAAGAGCCCAACAAAGGTGTCGCAGGGACCACTGAAACCAAGACTGAGCTTCAGCCATACCACCCCACCGCCACCCAGAGTGAGGAGCCCACCCACGTTGAAGACCCCCCGAGCTTCAGCCCGAGGGGACCAAGTGGTCGGAGAGACGCCAAAGGGGAGATTCTGTCCGTCCTGAAAAGGGTCGGGAGGCTCCTTCTGCTCCTGGGCCTCCTCTACCTGTTCGTGTGCTCCTTGGATGTCCTCAGCAGCGCCTTCCAGCTGGTGGGCGGGAAAATGGCCGGGACGTTCTTCAGCAACAACTCCATCCTGTCCAACCCCCTGGCGGTCCTGCGATCGGGGTGCTGGTGACCGCCTTGGTGCAGAGCTCTTGCACCTCCACCTCCATCCTCGTCAGCATGGTGGCCTCCTCACTGCTGTCAGTGCGGACTGCCATCCCCTTCGTCATGGGAGCCAACATCGGGACCTCCATCACCAACACCCTGGTGGCGCTCATGCAGGCCGGAGACCGGGATGTGTTCAGAAGGGCTTTTGCAGAGGCCACCGTCCACGACTTCTTCAACTGGCTCTCCGTGCTGGTGCTCCTGCCCGTGGAGGTCTCCACCCACTACCTGGAGGCCCTGACCAACCTGATCGTGGACTCCTTCCATTTCCAAAGTGGAGAAGATGCCCCAGAACTGCTGAAGGTTATCACGAAACCCCTCACAAAGCTCATCATCCAGCTGGATAAGAAGGTTATCAACCAGATTGCCATGAATGACCCAGCAGCTAAGAACAAGAGTCTGATCAAGATTTGGTGCAAAATGCTGACCCACGTGACTCAGGTGAATATCACAGTCCCCTCTATCCAGAACTGCACCTCGCCCAGCCTCTGTTAGACAGACGGCTTTCACACCTGGACCATCAAGAACGTGACCCGCAGGGAGAACATCGTCCAGTGCTAGCACCTCTTCGTGAATGCCAACCTCCTGGACGTTGTTGTGGGCATCCTCCTCCTGGTCACCTCCGTGCTGGTGCTCTGTGGCTGTCTGGTCATGATCGTCAAGCTCCTGTCCTCTGTGCTTCAGGGGCAAGTAGCCCTTGTCATCAAGAAGACCATCAACACGGATTTCCCTTTCTCCTTCTCCTGGCTGACTGGCTACCTGGCTATCTTAGTGGGGGCAGGCATGACCTTCGTCGTGCAGAGCAGCTCGGTGTTCACGTCTACTCTGACCCCACTGATCGGTGTGGGTGTGATCAGTGTTAAGAGGGCGTACCCGCTCACGCTGGGGGCCAACCTCGGCACCACCACCACCGCCCTCCTGGCCGCCTTGGCCAGTACAGGCAAGACCTTGAAGAGCTCGCTCCAGATCACCCTGTGCCACTTTTTCTTCAACATCACCGGGATCTTTCTGTTGTACCCAGTCCCGTTCAGCCGCCTGCCCATCGGCCTGGCCAAGGGCCTGGACGACCTCTCAGCCAAGTACCGCTGGTTTGCTGCCTTCTACCTGGTCACCTTGTTCTTCCTGTTCCCGCTGTCTGTGTTCGGCCTCTCGCTGGCGGGCTTGGCCGGCGCTGGTGGGCGTGGGGGTGCCCGTTGTCCTCGCGATCCTTCTGGTGCTGGTGCTCCAGCTCCTGCAGGCCCGCTGCCCTCACGTCCTGCCCAAGGCGCTCCGGACCTGGAGCTTCCTGCCCCGGTGCCTGCGCTCGCTGCATCCCTGGGACGCCGCCCTCTCACCAGCCAGCGGCTGCTGCGTGAGGAGTTGCTGCTGCCGCTGCAGCAGGTGCTGCCAGGAGCCGGGAGACACCCAGATCCAGATCCCCGAAGCCTTTGGTACCATCTCCGTGGCCGTGGAGACCCCGAAAGGGGTCCCCAAGTCTAAGGTGACCAGATTGTAACATTGATAAATCCGGACACCATTGATGGGGGGAGGGGGGGTGGTGTTCTTGATTAAAAAATTGGTCTATATGGAGCAACAAAAATTGTCATAGGACGCAAAAATAGTATTGTAATATATTTTTAAAATGTCAACCTAAGTGCTGTTTACAAATATAAATAAATAAATGTTATTTTTATAGTAAAAAAAAATGGTCAAACAAATTTCAAAGTAGTGTACCACTTTATGCTTCCACTGATAATGCTGCAGGTGCCTAGTGTCCCCATTCTCAGCAACATTTGACATGGTTAGTCTTTTAGTCATTCTACTGGGAGTTTTAATTTCTACATAGAAATCAGGTTGTGTTGGTTGATTGAATGGTTCACATGTTACATATGCATGTTGATTTTCTATTTAGTTATTCTATGAATTTTTGAAAAAAAAATTCATAGAATAAAAACAGACTCAGAAATGACAGACATAATAGAATTAACAGACAGGTACTTTAATACAACTACCGTGTTTCCCCAAAAATAAAACATCCTCTGAAAATAAGACCTATTTGCAGGTTTCCTTCTGAGTGAAATATAAGGCATCCCCCTGAAAATAAGGCCCCCCCTAGGCTCTGAATCAGAATGAAAATTAATTTACCATAAACTGGTCTCTAGGGCTGCCCAGACTGGCATCTAGCAACCTGATGTCACTGCTGTGTGGAGGCGGAGCAGAGGTCGGAGTGAGCGGTGAGTCCGGGGCAGGAGAGAGGAGGAGACTTTCGCAGATGCGTGTAGAAGAACAGGAGGATAAGAGAGGATGGGACGCGGCGAAGGTGGTGAGTGCTGGTCTGTCTCTGGTGACACTACCTGATGCTCTCGGCCACCCTCATGATGATTGAAGGTTCTCAGTCAGTGGCAGACCCTGCTCCAGGCCAGATCCAGGCCCCAGCAAGCCCAGTGACAGTCCCCAGGCAGACCCCAGGGGGTAAATGTCTGATAAAGGGGTAGGGGGGATGTCTGGTGAAGGTGTTCAATGGCATAAGGGTGGGGGGAGGGGGATCACTTAAAATGACACAGGAGGATCAGAGAGGGCAATCAAAATGACACAGGAGGATAAAAAGGGGTTACTAAAATGGTAATCCCCCCTCTGATTCTCCTGTGCCATTTTGATTCCCCCCTCTGATCCCCCCTGTGTCATCTTAAGTGATCCCCCTCCCCCCACCTTGATACCCCAATTCCTTTTCTTTTTTTTCCCCCCTAGAAATGAGCGCAAAAAGAAAAAGCTACTCCGTGGAGTACAAGAAAGGAATCGTGGAAGACTCTTGGGGCCAAAATCTTACTGCTTTCTGCAAAGAGAAGATGTTAAGTATCCGATTGGTCCGAAAATGGAGAGCAGAGTATGGTAACCTCATTGAACAAGTGGGCAAGGGAAATGCTAAAAAGCACAAGTGTCGAACAGGTCGGCAACCATTATTTTCCAAGCTGGAAGACCTGATCTGTGAATGGGTTGTTGATAGGAGAGCAAAGGCTTTGATTGTGAATAGGGCTCAGATTCAAGAATTTGCCCTTGCAATGGCACCACAGTTTGACATAGCCCCCAAAGACTTCAAAGCATCACAACACTGGCTGGATAATTTCCTTCAATGAAGTGAACTGTCTTTAAGAAGATCTACCGGTACAACATTGTTTAGGTTGGAAGATACTCAAGTTATTAAGGGAGCACTTGCATTCAAGTCCTTTATTGATGATGCTGACTTCTCTAAATACAATCTTTCCAACATGATTGCTATGGATGAAACTGCAGTGTTTATGGGCCAATCATCTCAAACAATAATTGAACAGTGGGTTGCCTCCTTAGTGTACATTCCCTCCACTGCTTACGAAAGTGCACATGTTTCCTGTATTTTGGCAATTCGTCTGGATGGCACTAAAATCCCACCTTTAATCAGTTCTAAGGGCAAGAAGGAAAAGATTGAACGTGTTTTGGGTGTTTTTATTCTTGAAACTGAAAAAGCCTGGGCCACACAAGCAGTTATAAGGAAGTGGGTCGATTTAATGCTGCCACTTGTTATGCAAGGGAGCCAAAGAGGTCTGCTTGTCTGGGATGCAGCCAGCACTCACCAGGCTAAAGACATGAAGACATTTCTTCATGAAAGGAAAATAGATCAGATAATGATTCCCATAGGAATGATGGCCTATCTCTAGACTCTTGATATTGCAATAAACAATCCATTTAAAGACAATTTGTGCGTGGAAATTAATGACTACATTGAAAATAGAATGGAGAGAAATCAACGTGGAAACTTTGTGAAACCTAAACTGCAAGAAGTTGTGACTTGGGTGAAGAATTTATGGGAGAAAATCACTATCAGTTGCATTGTAAATGTACTGCAAGCAGGCTACCTTGACAAGAAGTACTCATTTAAAGACAGTGCTATTGCTAAACATGAGAGATTTGGTCCACTGATTCTGAAAGAAATACAATCACAAGAAATTCACCAGGAAATTCAGGAATTGGATTGTTATGATGATGTTCCAGAAGATTGTCATTGAATAAATGAGTAAATTCTTGATACTGTAGGATTCACAGTTGTCTGGTTTGTGTTGACAACTACCATACCATATACAGATAATAAATGTCCTTTATTTTCATTTAACAATAAATGTGTACCGTATTCTTCTTCATGGAAAAATAAGACATCCCCTGAAAATAAGACCTAGTGCATCTTTGGGAGCAAAAATTAACCTGTTAACCGAGCAGGACCTATAAATACATCAAACATAAACACTATCGGGAACGAGTAGGACATATGAATATGTCCTTGAAATATATGTTGTGCCCTGAGAGGGACGGTATATATTTTTTGTAATCTTTTTTTTTTTAATATATTTTATTGATTTTCTTACAGAGAGGAAGGGAGAGAGATAGAGAGCTAGAAACATTGATGAGAGAGACACATTGACCAGCTGCCTCTTGCTCACCCCCTACCGGGGATGTGCCCACAACCAATGTACATGCCCTTGGTCGGAATCGAACCTGGGACCTTTCAGTCCACAGACTGACGCTCTACCGCTGAGCCAAACCTACTTCAGTTGTAATCTTTATAATTGTTTGTAAAATTTATAATTTTTTAATTCGATGTTTCCATTTTTTTTGTTGGTATTCTTTTCTATTTGTTTGTAATTTTGTATTTTCCTTTGTGCTTTATATATAAATAAACAAAAAAATATATATTTCATTTATTTTAATTAAGTATAAATAAAAAAATAATAATATAAAATTACGTCCGCTGGGTGTGACATACTGACACATCCTAGTGAAAGAGTATGCACCCGTTGTACGTTGTGTAATTAAAAAGGGAACTCCTCGGTTAACAGGTTAATATAAGACACTGTCTTATTTTGGGGAAAACAGGGTATTATGAACATGTTCAAGGAGTTAAAGGGAAACATGCATAAAGTGCAGCAATGAGTAAAGTAGAGAAACACAATAATGAATAGA